AAGAAAAGGAAGAATAACCATGAAGAAGTAAAGCATTACAGATATACATAGATTTATCACGATTTAAATAACTTTTATTGAAATAATTCAATAATCGCTTAGATAAATCAACGGCAGAACCTATCCCCCCCGCAGGCTTGCGGGGGGGGGGAGGGGTAGGGTTCCGCCCCTTGGGGGGCAGAACCTATATACATTTTACCTGATTCCTTAAAGGTCCACATATATATTCCAGTTTCTATTATCCAACAAGATCTTCTCTTTTAGGGATGATCAGCCCTGCGGCCAGATCTTCGCCAAAGGCGAGGATCATTTTTTAAAGATCTTCATCTAAGATGATGATCAATTATATGAATGGATCTGCCCTGCTTTAGCAGGGCTGATCCCCGCCTCCGGAGAGATCTGTGATCTCTCCGTTTTCGCATTAGAATAAACTATTATTGCTTTAGGTAGATTATCACCTGACTTAGTGGAATAATTACGAGATTGAAACTTATTAAATGGATAAGAAATTGCTTTCGAAATTTGGCTGGGGGTGTTCATAACATTAGTAGTATATGAACCTATTTTTTTGGGAATTCTATTATTTATACTTAAATTCTTAGAATTGTTGAACAAGAGAGTGCTCGTATTAGAATTTAATAAACATGAGCTAAGCCAAACTTTTACTGTAAGACTACCATTTTTCCCTGTAAAACTATACTTGTTGGCATCAATTGAAGAAGAGGAAGAACTTATTCTTAGAGTACCCATAGATTTTCTAAATACTCTTGTACGACTAGCAGTCTTACGTTGAGAAACTCGACCTGATATCGAGATTTTTAAACCTGTTAAATATTGAGGCTCATTTAAGACAGAAGAATATTTAATTAAATCTATGAATTTAGTAGGAGTAGAATTATTATTTTTAACTAATTTAACTTTTTGAAATAGATTCCGTGATATTTTACTAAAATTTCCTGCCTTTATGTTTAGTGCAATATATTGTGCTAATATATAACTATTTAAATAAGGATAATGAATTCTTACAGGTCTTAATTCAACAGGTTTACCATAAAATCCTGATAATTTTAATATTAATTTAGAATATCCTCTAGCTTCAAGAGATAATAAAATTTTATTGTTGGCAGTTAAACCTTCTTGTAAAGATGATTGAATTTTTTTTGATTGCCCATAAGGATTTGATCGTCTAGATACTGGTAAATTTAAAAAATAATAAAAACTAATAATAACTTTATTAGAATCTTTATTAAATTTAGGTTTTGAAATTAAAGCAAATTGAAAATAATGTTTAATAACATTTAAAGCTATTTTATCTAGACCCCAATAATTATATAATCTACTCTTAGAGTTAAAATAATACGAGGTTTCACCCCATTTATTATGTGTTTTTAATCTTAAGCTTACAGGATGTTTGCTACCCATATTTTTTATATATTTTTCTCTTTAATCCTAATTTTGTCCATATTAAAGATGACTCTTAAAATTCAGCCATATAAACTAAACCCAAGCAGCTAAGACCCCGCGTGTGAATGCGGAATCGAACCTTTTATGTAAAAGTTTCTTTATTCAAATTTTTTATATATAACATCTTATTATATATTAATAATTTGATTCGTCACATTGGGTGTTTATTTAGAATTATGGTATATTAATCCCTATCATAAATTAGAATTCTATTTAAGAGCCTCGCACGCGAAGCGAGTTATAGATAAAATCCATTTGTCTTTAAACAATTTATGACTCTTAGTATAACGAATTATAGTAACAGGACTCACATTAAAATTTTCAGCAGCCTTTCTATAAGAATCAAAAGTGTTAAGAAGTGTAGATTTATCAGAAGAATATACATAAACAATTTTCCTTTAGCTTCCCTGCATCGCAGGGCCGGGGGGGGGGGAGAGGGGGAAGCTTCTTCTTTTGAGAGATTTAAAATATCAACATACTCTAAAATAGTTAAAGAAAATGCAGAATATCCATGATGAAGTAGAGCATTATTTATATAACTATTTTTACTACGAGTTAAATGTCCTATAGATAAATAATTATGCATTCGTTTATATAAATCAATTGATGAGCCTACGTATCTTTTACCTGACTCCTTATGAGTCCATAAGTAAATCCCGGCTTTACCTTTATTATTCGACAAGATCTGCCCGCAGGGCTGATCCCCCCCTCCCCCCCCCCCGCAAGCCTGCGGGGGGGAGATCTGCGATTTGTCCGTATCTACATTAGAATAAATCATTATAGGAACAAATAATGATAATGATATCTCATGCGTATGATATAATAAAGTTGATTCTAATAACTTTCCTAATAGAATCATTATAACAAACAATAAAATTAGATTAAATAATTTTTTATCTAATAACTTAACTGCGCTGTGAGATTCGAGGGGGGGGTGTTAGACTTTTTGTCTAACGTTATGATTATCGGGCCAATCATGGCAAGCAATAATATAAAAGAGCAAATAATTAGGTATAATCCATAAGAAGAATACATGATAGCACCTATAGCTTGAATTTGTTCGTAATTTACGAAAATATTATTGTATGTTACATTAAACCCAGAATAAATGAAATTATTTGAAGAATTAATACCAATAATCCAAAAATTTAAATAATCAAAGAATGCTGAAATTAAATAAACGTTATTTAATTTTAGTTAAAAAGTTAGATAAGATTAAATAACTTAACATTATTGAGATTATAATAGCTAACGGGATATTTTTACTGTTATTACTACCTATTTCGTTAATTTCAACTAAACGAATATTCAGCATCATTATAACAAATAAGAATAAGATAGCGATAGCTCCTATTGTTTATACTAATTGAATAAAGAACTCAATAGATGTAAATTATCTAATTTTATACCGAAGGCCGAATATAAAAAAATTAAAAGGCTAACTGATATATTTATACTCCCCCCTATCAGCTATAAAATCTAATTAATATTTATTTAAAGTAGATTTTAAAAGTTTTAATTGAGCTAATCCTTCTGGAGTTAGATGAGCTTTATTAGTCAATAATACAACCATTTTTCGCCAAATTAAATAGTTATGTAATTTAAACCCGAACAATTGATAATTATCAAAATGTGGAAGAATTCTCATATTTAAATCAGATATAGCACTAATTCTGTATCTTGCAGAAGTTTTTTCTCCATAAGATTGTACAGATCCCTTAGAACCAAAAAAATCCATTATTTTCAATAAAAGGGGTTCCTCTCTTTTATATAGTTCTATTACATAAAAAGCATTAGTGCTAGCTCCTAAATAAAATGAAAAAGAACCATCACCTTCCGTAAAACCACTAATCCAATGAGGATTTAATTTTTCTTTACTAACTACAAACTCTGGTCTAATTAAAACTTTAACATGAGGGCACTTATTAACTTATCTGAAAGTCCCTTATTAATTGCTCCTTTGATAGAAACTATTTTTTCAAGACCTCCTAGAGTAAGATGTTCTTTATTAGCCATTAACAATATACATTCTTTCCATAGAAGATAATCAATAGATTTAGCGCTTTGTAATAGATATTTATCAAAATGAGGTATAATTACAGATCTATTAATTTCCATACCTTGAGCTATAAACGTAGCTACTTCTCTATTAGAGTCAATTACTATAGTCCCAATCCCTCCAAAAAAAATTGAATATGTTCTAATAAATGTAAATCTTTAGAATGTAGTACTATTTTAAAAATTGGTCGAACTTGCCAGCCGATTTTATTTGTTTTAGATTTAATTAGACGAATCATAAAACAGCCCTCGGCATCGACAAAACCGGTAACGAAGAAGGGGTCCAATCTTTGTTTAGAATCCTGGTTGCTCATTAACGGTATTTTAGAATCACAATCATTAATTTCTTGATATAAAAGAATTCCAGGTAAGAAATTTAACAAAACATCTGAATCATAATCAATAGTAGAGAAAATTAATAAAGAAGCTAATAACACAACTCGGTCTGATTTACAAGGTAAAGAGGAGGGGGGGTGTTAGATTGGATTTTCGATCTAACGTCATGATTATTGGACCGATCATAGCTAACAATAATATGAACGATACAAGAATAAGGTATAATCCATAAGAAGAATACATAATTGCACCTATAGCATGGATTTGCTCGTAATTAACAAAGATATTGCTATAGACAGTATTAAATGTAGTGAAGATGAAATTCTCTGAGGAATTAATACCTAAGAACCAATAATTTAATTTATCAAAGATAGCTGAAATTAAATAAACATTATCTAATCTAGATGTAATAGCATTTGATGTTATTAAATAACTTAAGAAAGATGCAACAATTACTGCTAATGGAATATTTTTACTATACTGAGTTCCTATTTGAGTAATCTCAGTTAATCGAACATTTAACATCATTATTACAAATAAGAAAAGTATAGCTATTGCTCCAATATACACCATTACATATGCTAATCCTATAAAGTTAATCCCTAATAAGATTAAATAACCAGCTAAATTAATAAATACTGCTATTAAAAATAATATGGAAATTATAGGACTTTTAGCAGTAATAACCAAAATTGCTGATAATACAGAAAAAAATGTTAATAAATCTAATAATAAAGAATTCATTTTAATTAATGTCGTAAAAAATAGGTGAATTAATTAATAACCTAAAATTATAAATCCTAGCCTTATATGATATTTTTTTTATCTTTTGCTCTCAGTATATCGTCTTCGCAAGATAGATAAAGAAGTCCCAACGTCTGGGAACTATTATTATATAAGGTCTTATAGATCTTTTTATCGGTATGATCACTCTTAAATAAGGTAATCTATATTAATAAAATTAACTTTGATCTTTAATAAATCCTCAAGTTTATTACATCCCCCCCCCGCAAGCCTGCGGGGGGGCCCTCCGGGGGGAGGAAAGTTTTTTTTTAGTAAATTGTTTATTAATATCCGAGATAAGTCTTTTTATAATAAGATTTATTTTTATAAATATAGTCATATACATTTAGTATATCTGATGAGAACGCAGAGATTCGAACTCTGATATGATAAGGTAAAAGCTTAGTACTTTACCAATTAAGTTACGTTCCCAAAAAAACTATTAAATTAAGTTACATCTCTAAAATTATTTAAATTACTAATGAACCTAAATTTTTAATAAAAGACTTGAACACTTAGATTAAAATAACCTTAACTAATAAAATTATTTCCTAATACTATTCAATTATATTAATTATTATAAAAAAAAAATGAGTGGTCAACTTCCCGAAAAACTTTTATGGGGGGAGGTGTTTACTGATATTAAGGTCATCAATAAATTTATTTTAATCCTAAATATTAAAACTTATAACTCGTAGTAAACAAATTAATATTTATAGTATATTAACCCTTCTATAATTATTATTTAATAATATCAGAGGCCGATGTTGATAAAATCCACTCTTTTTTAAATACTTTACCACTTTTTGTATAAGACAAGATAGTATTGTAAGAGCAAGTAAAGAATTCCCCTGCTTTATTAGCAGAAGTAAAGGTGTTAACTATTGTTGAACTATCTGCGGAATAAACATAGATGGTAGTATCTTGAGCAAGACTCATTTTGAACTTAATAAGATCATTAAGTTTAATCTCCTTCTTAGAAAGACTAATCTTTAACTTAGTGATATCTTTATGAGCTTCCCCCCCCCGGCGATGCATCCCGCCCGGCCCCCCCCTCTCCTGGGCCCCCCGCAGTAGTGCGGGGAGAGGGGGGGGAGTTTTTATGTAGAATCCCAAATGCAATAAAACTATTAACTAATTTACTATACTCCAAATATTCAAGATGTGCAGGCAATAGTTCAATTAAATTATTTGTAGTGTGAATAGCAGAAAGAATACAAATTAGTAATAGTATTAACCAGAACCATATCATA